GATTAATTCCTCACACCCAAAGTTTATTTGAAAGTCTCCTCTACTTCCCCAGTTATAGATTTTTTCAGAACACTGTTCCCACCATATCGCAGGTGCAGACCATCCCACTTATTCATTCCAACTTTTCCAGTACTGATGCCAATGCCCAAGAACCAAAGCCCACTTCTCCCACACCAGTGTTTGAGCCATGTATCCATTTCATCAATTTTATGTATCTCTCCCATTTAGCATGTGGCATGTATGCTTGAGGTTCTGCTCTTCAGATTTGGTATCCAACTCCTCATACATCGAAGCAAAACCTCTTTCCTTTTACTGCCTATGGCATTGGTACCTACCTGGACAATAGCAACTGGATCTTTATCCTCTCATTCCAAGTTCCAATCTTGCCCTGTGCGGATATCTTGAACCCTATCCATGGTTGGGCAACATTGCCTTTTTAAGGTCTCAGCAACTCTGTAGCTTGGGCTGTGAATGCAGTTGTTCGTTAGCTCGCTGAGTCAGTTGTTCTGTGGTGTGCAGACATTTCGGTACCATTCTAGGCAACATCATCAGTGCGACCTCTAATCGAAGTGTTGGTGTTCTGCTCTGTTCCAAATTTATATGGTCCTCTGGTGTAGTGGGTCTTGTCATTTTCAGTTCTGTTTTTTTAGCAGCAGTCTGTATACAGGGTCTCTTTCTATGTGCTTGTTAATGGAGTCCCATGTTGAGAACCAGGCTTCCAGAAATTCCCTTGGACGTTTGTTGCTCACTTGTACCAGTCAAACTGATGGCCCTCAATGTCTGTGTGTATCGGGACAAGTGAATATTGGTCGTATCTTTTTACTAACAGCTGGTGTTCGTGTATCCTGGTCGTCAGTTTCCTCCCCGTTTGTCCAATGTAATGTTTATTGCATATTATGTTCACTCGTCTCAATACACCACACCAGAGGACCATATAAATTCAGAATGGAGCAGAACACCAACGTTTCTATTAAAGGTTGCACTCATGATGTTGCCTAGAATAGTAACGAAACGTCTGCACACCACAGAACAACCAGCTTGGCGAGCTAACGAACAACTGTAACATTGCCTTCTGGACTCTTCTGTTGTTTTCTCTTTGCACAGTAAAGTATCACTCCCCTCTTATTATATTATCCCTGCTATCGTTACATTCCTATTTACTCCCTCCATTTAAAGTACTTTACTTGTGGTCACATCTTCCTATCCCTTGCTACAATGGAATTGAGGAACCACCTTCAGATAAAAAAAAATGTTCAGTTATCTTTCCGCTCCTTGATACATTGCGAAGTTGTCAACTCAGTCTCCAATTCAATAACACTGAATTTGAGTTCCTGGAGTGATAGGCAGTTGTGACAGATGTGTTTGCCCTGAATTACTTTCAGGTCCTAAACCTCCTACATTTTGCAACTATGACACAACACTAGTCTCTTCATTGTCTGTATTGTAATTAATTAAGTGTAATTTGTTATTATAAACAGTCATGTAAAATTTTTGTTCTTTTTCACAACTTTACTGTATCTACAAAATACTGATACCTTTTATAACCATAAGCTATACATAGCACTTACTGGCTGATCAGTTTACCAGAATACTATGATGACACTTTTTTTCACTCTGTTTTTCAAAATAAGTAACTGAAGTGGCATGCACCAAAAAGGTAAAGAAAGGAAGAGCAATGGTACAACTTTTTCCCCTACTTTCCTGAGCCCCCACATAGCCAAACTTCAAAGCCTTCCACTCTGTGCCAAATTCACTCAATGATCTTCTCCCAATTCAAGTGTGGTACAACCTCAACCGTATCTGCTTTCTTAAGTCTGTTTTATTTCTAACTCCAGCTTTTCTGGTAATGCTATTAATCTGATCTTGGTAAATTCTTACAAATCAGTCAGGGGTAAATCTTAGACAACAAGGTGCAGGGCCAGATGAACACAGCAGGCCAAGCAGCATCATAGGAGCAGAGAGGCTGACGTTTCGGGCCTAGACCCTTCATCAGAAAAGGGGGAGGCGAAGGGGGTTCTGAAATAAATAGGGAGAGAGTGGGAGGCGGATAGAAGAGGGATAGAGGAGAGGATAGGTGGAGAGGAAACAAACAGGTCGAAGAGGCGGGGATGGAGCCAGTAAAGGTGAGTGTAGGTGGGGAGTTAGGAAGGGGATAGGTCAGTCCAGGGAGGACAGACAGGTCAAGGGGGCAGGATGAGGTTGGTCGGTAGGAGATGGAGGTGCAGCTTGAGGTGGGAGGAGGGGATAGGTGGGAGGAACAACAGGTTAGGGAAGCCAGGATGAGCCGGACTGATTTTGGGATGCGGTAGGGGGAGGGGAGATTTTGAAGATGTGTAAAACCACATTGATACCATTGGGCTGCAGGGTTCCCAAGCGGAATATGAGTTGCTGTTCCTGCAACCTTCGGGTGGCATCGTTGTGGCACTGCAGGAGGCCCAGGATGGACATGTCGTCTGAGGAATGGGAGGGGGAGTTGAAATGGTTCGCGACTGGGAGGTGCAGTTGTTTATTGCAAACTGAGCGTAGGTGTTTTGCAAAGCGGTCCCCGAGTCTCCGCTTGGTTTCCCCGATGTAGA